AATTATGAATTTTATGTATCTCAGTATAATTTACTTGTTTTTTAAGTCTTACTAAAATAGGTCCAAAACTGTAGGAGGAGTAACATATTAAATGAATTTCAAAGAATATTCTATTTTTTGCTATGGCATCAGCGTTTGTTGAAATCGAAAACCAAAAAAAAAAAAAAAAAAAAAAAAAAAAAACAGAATTATGCATCTTAATATAATCTACTTGTGTAGCAAGTCTCTAATTGAAATAGGACCAAAACTGTAAGAGTAACTTTTCAACGGAATTTCAAGAAAAAAAATTATTTTAGTAACTAAGGAAACACCGTTTCAGAAACCGATATACAGAATTATGTATCCTAGTATAGTCTATATAGTCTACTTGTGTACAAGTCTTATTGAAACTAGATCCAAACTGTAGTAGTAGCATTTAAAATGACTTTCAAAGAAATTTCTATTTTTAGTAACCAAGGCAACAACGTTTGTTGAATCAAAAACCGATAAACAGAATTATGTATACTGAAAGGAAAAAGAAACGCATGGTAAACGTTTGAAGTAAATTAGAGGGGTTTTTTACGAGCGTATTCTCCAGTATATTGTTATCAAATACTAAGTATTTAAACTCATCTTTAATCAACAAGTTACCAAACTCTTATGTGATTTTGACTGATAATTCATTATTGAAATTTACATGACGGTACCCCCAAAAGTAAAATTAAAATTTTTCACTATCACCCATGCCTGCCTCGCGCATCTGTCACAGACTTGATCCCTCTCTGCATTGAGTTCATCAGTGCAATTATCTTTCTGATAGGGAAATTCAACCCTTACAACAGGCCAGCCCTTAGTTGGAGCATTCTGAGGCCTTCAAACCCTACTGTCCAGTAAGTGCCACAAATTTTCGATTGGAGAAAAAGAAGCCAGTTGATTTGGTAAATGTGAATGTTTGCGAGAAAGTCTTGACAAACTCTGGCTATATTTTCCCGGGGTAAATAGGCATACGGCGCATACTTGCGCGAGTGGTAGTAATACCGACGTAAAGTTGACGACCAAAAAAGAGCAATCGGTTTCTTTCAGTTTAAGGATGAATGTTATCTACTGTATTAATATCAGTTTCAGTGGTAATGCCGTGGCAATTACACAGATGGTAGGATGAAAAGCCCTATCTTGATGTGACGTTGTTACGCGCCAACGTCACCTCACTGTTTGTAAAAACCTTTCCAGGTACTCTCTTACAACTGATAAAATGTTCTATGGTGGAAAAATTATTAACAAACTGCTTTTCTTCACTAATGCAAATAAATTACTAGCCCCTGTGAAACTTGCGTCAGCCGTACCATGATTGCAAAAAATTGACACTGATTGCAACTATGCAAAAAAGATATCTTCAGGTGGTACTACAAAATGTGTTAACATACCTGTCATCGTCAATATGCGCGTCTTTTTTTTAATTTTTTTTTACCACTTTCACTACGTGACGTCTTATATTTCAAGGTTATGAACACCGAATTAGTGTAAAGTTACCAAGATAACCCTCTGACCAGTTTTCATAATTTTCGGCCACGCAAAAATCTTTCGCATATTATGTTATCCTGCGTTTCTTTTTCCTTTCAGTATGTGATTATCTTAGCATAGTTTCCTTGTATACCAAAACTTATTGAAATTGGACCATATCTGTAGGAGAAGAAGCATTTTAAAGAATTTCAAAGAAAATTCTATTTTTAGTAACCATGGTTACAAAGTTCGTCAAAATCAAAAACGATATATAAAATTATGTATCTTAGTGTATTCTACTTGTGTATCAGTCGCCCGCGTGGCGCAGTGGTTAGAGCGTCTGCTCTAGAGTCGCGGAGTAAGGAGTTGATCCTTACGTTGCCTGTTCGAATCCCACTGTGGGGCGTAGAGACCGGTCCTTCTGATGAGACCGTGTAAACCGATGTCCCGTGTCGCAGAAGGTGCTGGCACGAAAATGACCCCTCACTGCTCAATGGCCCTGAGTGCCGAGTACAGGTCAAAATTTGTAGCCCTCCACCGGCAAGTGATGGCGTCTCCATATGAGTGAAAAATTATCGAGAGGGACGTTAAACAACAACAAACAAACAAACTTGTGTATCAAGTAATATTGAAATCGGACCAAAACTGAAGGAGGACTTTTGACAAACAGATAGACGAACAGACGGGCGGACGGACACATTACTATCGCATAAGCTCTTCTGGTCTCTAACCAGTAGGGCTAAAAAGAAAATGTATGAAATGTGAGCTCTGATCCTATAAAATGTATACAAAATGATAAAAGTTCATTTGACATTTCAATTCAACATCTATTATTAATCACTTTTTTTATCTTGTGAAGAAACACAAAAAATTCTCATTACAAAACTTTTGTTGCACAAAATACAGTCCTGTTAAGAGAGAGAAATTTTAACTTCATAGGAACTCGGATAATGAAATATTTAGTATGTAGATTCAAATTTAGATAAAATAAGATCTGTCATTAATTGATTGATACGAACTTGGGACCGAACTGATTGAAAAATTTTAAATTACTCATTTTGAAAAACCTAGCATCCGAAAGTGACATCTTTCTGCAAGTTTCTAGAATATAGGAATTTATTAATGAAAATTACAATTAGCTTTTTTAAGCCCATTAATATTTTTAACATTTCAATTCATCCTCTGATCGTAAAGGAATGTGATATTATATAAAGAAGATGGGTGAAAAAGGCGGGCGAAGTGCCTATAGAGCGACAAACATGAAGTGATAAATAAAATCTCAATTCTATCAAAATTTTCTTTGATAAATCATCTAACATTAAAGTATACTTTACGTAAAATCTCTACACTTTCCATAAATCTCACAAAGACTGAAATTATTTGAAGACCAAATAACACACACACACACTAAAGAGGACAAAAAGGATCATTTTCTCATACTTAGACAAAATTTTTCGATATGAGTAGGTCTTCGCTCCATTTTTTTTAAAGTTAATCCTAAAAATTTGTAAAACAATTTACATTTTTTGGTTTACAAAAACATGGAGTAAAGACCCACTATACCTTAAAAGTACACTTTTATGACAAAACATTCGCATCTTTCCGAGAAATACTTGAAGTCCATTAAGTCAAGGGTCATATCATAAACATGATTTAAATGCCTCTATTCATCAGGAGCTGTGTAGCCTAGTGTTAAACGTGTTAGTCTCAAAGCAATGATACGCCGGATTTTTATTGTTAGGGGTTCGAATCCCAAGAATACCATTTTATTTTTTTAAAGAATAATGATTGTTTATCCAGTAATGTAGGACAATTTCGTGTGTCCAACAGAAAATATTGCTTCTAGCATAAAACTCTAAAATTTGGACACTTGTATAGAAATAGGTTTGACATGAGCTGGTAACAATAAAAGTTACTTTCGTTATGACACTGCAATTTCTTTGTTTAACTTTCCTTGTTCCCCAAGATTATAGTGAATTTGATAAATTCAACATTTAACCAGAAGTCTCTGGTGAGACTGTAGCTCTACTAATTTGTACTTATAACAAAGGAAGAGAAAAGTAGCGCTTGCACTTGAAACTATGCAATAACAATAAATAGAACAATGGTCCTTGGTTTTGTCTCTTTATTGTGGCAAGATTTTTTGCAATTAGACTAAAACTGTTGGAAGCGAAGTCTTTTGAAAGAATTTCACAAACATTTCCATTTTGGTAATCACGGATATATTGTTCATCAAAATCAAAAAATTGTTAAATGTAATTATGTATCTCAGTGTAGCCTAGCCTATGTGTGCAAAGTTATAATGAAATCAGACCAAAACTGTAAGAGAAGTAGAATTTTGAAAGTATTTCACAAAAATTTCTATTTTTAGTAACCATGGCAGTACCGTTCGTCAAAATCAAAAACCAATGCATAGGAACTTGTATCTTAGTGCAGTCTACTTATATGCTAAGTAATGTTGAAATCGGACCAAAACTGTAGGAGGAATAGCATTTTAAAACTATTTCACATAAATTTTTATCTTTAGTTACATTGACAACACGTACCGTTCATCAAAATCAAAAACCGATGCATAGAACTTTGTAGTATGTAATGAAGCTTTGATATTCATCTTTTCTGGCCGAGTAGTTCTTGAGAAGAAGATTTTAAAAAAATGCCACCACATTTTCACGAATTTTTGTCTCTCCTTTAAAGAGGGCGTGGCACTTCCTGTGAACAAACATAAATTCCCTTCACCCAAGGATGCTTTGTGACTATTTTGTTTGAAATTAGTCCAGTGGTTCTTGAGAAGATGAAATTGTAGTTTACGACAACAACAACGACGACAACGATAGAAAACGTACACATTTTTATCAGAAAAGCTCAGCTGAGCATTGTGCAATAACAAATTTCAAAACTCGGTGTACACGTATGGAGATCGATACCAAAGATGACGCGTATTCGGTTTAGATAAGGTCATCACTTTAAGGTAATCCTTTCTACTAAAAATTATCAATGAATTCATTTTTTTGTTCATGATACAATGTATTTCATTTATTTGCTTCTCTGTACTTTTAAATATTGTCGAGAATATTTGGCTTTAAGGTGGCATAGACCCCGTCTCTATCGAGATGTTGGAATTATTGATAAAATAATATTCACGGCAGTTCGCCAATGATTTCAATATTGCATTTGTTAATTTTTTGAATCAGTAAGTAATAAAAATTCATTATCTTATAAAGTATGTAGATTTAAAAAAAATATTGATCATTACTAAAGATATAATTTGGACCCACTAGGAGCCTGTACAGTTTTGCTTCAGGTTATACTTGTTTCATTTATCATAAACTTTTGTCAAATGAATTTTGTTGCATTTTAAAATTTACTATTTCTAATCTGTAGTGCCCAGAAATATATTTTGTTCAAACTGAATATCAACATAATTATCTGATTGTCAGGCTTTCAAACTTGATTATATTTCTCTTGATCTAGGTATCGACAAATCACGCGTTTGTCAGATTGAATCTGTCACAGCTGTGAACTGAGCATGGATGTTCATCATCTTTACAGTCAAAATAAAACACTGATCAATACACAGAATTTATGTGGAGTGTAAGCAAATTATCCAGCCATCGTATTACATATATTATACATTTATTTTAGCAAGCATGGGACAGATTGAATCGATAGAGCTACTCATTGTGAATTAAAGTAACAAACTTGGCCTACTAGTAATAAAAGATTATGGGTGAAATACACTAAAGTAAAACAGAATGACTACAGAGGCAGCATCCCTTACTCAAGGAACTGCAATCGATGTTTCTGTGTGTGAGAAAGATAGTTTAGAAGATTTAAGGGTTGTCAAAGATGTTACAGAGGGACCGACATACACAAAAGAACATCAAGATGTTGCAGAGTATAACTTGAATTGCGTCAATGAGGATAGTCCAAACAAAAACAAAGCAAATGGTCTATGTGACGACATCTACAAAACAAGTCAACGGACTTACAGTAGCAAAGGAAGTACGGAAAACATAGACAAAGTCACACCAAGGGATCCTTCAAGACAGTTTTCAGAAGAGGAAAAAAAGAACTGTTTCCTTCAGACAAATAATGCCTCTAAATTATTTGATTATAAAATCAGAAGACGTCGCACTATAGATGGAGTAAATGCAATTCCTAAAGCGAGTTCCACGAGGGACCTGCATCGCCAAACGTCTGACTTTGGCCGGTCATTCCTTCCACGTCCCAAAGGGAGCACTTTGAATCTCTCTTACTCTGGAGAAAGTCCTCCATGTGTTCGTGAGACTTTAACTAGTAGACTGAGATTTGAAAAGGGGCACCTGTCCCACGAACTGCAAAACTGTGACTGCAATAACTACATCACCCCAACACAACGCAAGGAAATGGAAATGAAGCAGCTTAAGAAAGAGGTCAAACAGCTAAAGAAAGACATTGCAGAGAGGGTAGAGGAAATTGACTTGCTGAAGAAAAATATTGACAAAGAGGCGGCAGAAATTATTGAATGTAAAAATACCAAAATTAAAGAAATTCGAGAGGAGCTTGATTCTATGACCATTAGTCAGACTGAATTGAAGTCCTCATATCACGAAGCGCTGGAAAAGGTATCCTCCCTGGAAGAGACAGTTAAAAATCTAAAGGTGAAGTATTCCTTACCTTCTTGTGTATTAGTAGTTCTTTGAAGAAAGAATGTAGATTATGTTTTTCATATACTTATTCAAAAAAGAAATACTGGGTTTATTAATAATTCGACTATCATCTCTTTGGAAAATTACTATAATTACAATAATGTGTTATGGAAAAATGTGTTATTGTGAAATTTACTCATCAATATAGAAATGGTTTATAATGAATAGTAATTTAGTTTTGTTTTGGTAGGCTGTAATTGCTGACAAAGAACAAAGTAATGCAGAAATGTATTATGAAATGTACCGAAAAGGCCAAGAGTCGGCAAAGTTTGAAAGGAATTTTGAGGTAATGAGAGTGGTTCCGGGTAATTTTCTCCACATCAAAAAATGAAGTTTGACTTGTATTACATGTCTAACAAGGTGTGCTGAATGTATATATCAAATTTTATAACAGATTGAAAGAATTGCCGCCATATCCGGTAAAGCAACGTCAGTGACAACTCGTGAACTGTTGGAGAAGCTGGTGGACACAGAGGCGGAATTAGCTAAGTGGCAGTCATTCAGACGCCAAGAGTCCTACGAAAGTGCCGAAAGACCAGAAACAGAGGCCGCTGCCATTTTGAGGTTCCTAAAGGATTCTTTTTACCATTATATTACTGACCAGAAGCAGTCGGACAACCACCTTCGTGCCATGATCCGAATATTTAACTATACAGAGCCCCAAAAGAAGAGAATTGCCAGTGCCATAGCGGAAAGGATTAACAAGAAAAATAGCCTATGAAATCAATGAACATTTTCAATATTTTACGTTTGTGGTCTTAATGAGGATAAGAACCAAAACTTTGATTATATTCACATGTAAAGAAATTCCTGAAAGGGACTATTTTAAATTTTGTAAAGTAGGATTCCCCCCATAGACAGCTCCCCCTCTCTCCCCGGAATCTGTACTCTAAAGTAGGACTTCCCCCAGAGGGGAAATCTCACACTAGAGCCAAACTTCCCCCTCTTTCTTTCTTACAGCAGGATTTCCCCTCTTTTGTCAATGCTAAAATCATATCGACAATATTTGGCTTAAAGTTTATATAAAAATCAACTGAGTTTTTAATGGAAATATGAGTGTTTTCGACTCCAAAATTATTCAAATTTAGTATGATATTTTCAGATATATAGTTCATATCATTGAATCTGAGCGCAGTAACTCAAACGGAATTGCAAAATTAGTCACTCATAAAAATCGTTACATTCGATTTCTCAATCCCTTTCTCAGCGCAGCAGTACCTATTTTCACGAATTTTTAAATCTTCGGTAATTTTATCTATGTTATGCTTTTTACAAAAAGTGTGTAAGAAAGGTCTAACATTTATATGTTATTGATAGGTTGTGAGTGTTTGAATCGAGTAGTTCTTCAAAGGGAAAAAAAAGCAAAACAATTCAAGAAACACTGCTTTTTTCAAGCCGAAGCATAAATATGTCCATTCAACCCCAGCGGTGTAATATTGGATTTGAAAGCAGAGAGCAAATACTCTGAGTTTTGCAAAATTTCAAACTTTTAGTTCCGTGACAACTACAACTATTTTGGATGTTTAAATCCCAGAAACTTGAAGAGACAGTTATGCATCAATATTTTGTACATGTAGTTTGAAATACAATTGGCGAAAAAATCCATTTAAGATAAAATTACTTCTTTTAGTTTCCATAACTAGTTAAAACTTTGTCCGACTGATTACTTTGTATCTCTTTTTTTTTCTGGTAACCAGTTTGACCGGGTGAAAAGAATAAGACTTTAATGCTTTAAAAGAATTGGTTTGAAAGTTACTGAGAAAAATTATTAAAAATATACTTTGTATATTTCAATGAAACTGGTCTCAATATGAAAAATTTTGAATGTTGAATAGACAACTAGACTTTTTTATTATGATTTTTGTGAAGTTTCATTAAAATTGTCCATGAGAGCACCTGAGGGAAAATTATAAAAGGGACACTTGCAACAATACATAAGTACAGTCACGATATTTCATTTGGGGGAAACTGGCTCTGGAGGAAATTGCTCTATAACTATTACACAGAGTAGAATTTTCCCTACATTCATATAAATTGAATCTGGTAAGGGATTTTCGTAAGGGAAATCCTACTCTCGATCCTATTTTCCGGGGGGAAATCCTACTCTGAAGCCAGTTTTCCGGGGGGGGGGGGGGTTTAGAGGGAAAGTCTTCTCCACAAGACCAGTAATATAGCGTTGATAATAGTTCTTTATATTCACGTATTTTTAGTTTTGTTACATGTACTCATATCTACATTCATATTTCTTTTTTTGGAAGTGTAAAAAAAAATCTGAAACATCACCGTCACAACGTCAGGGGTCCTGTGTCAACTCGTTTGCAGTGGGACCCACAAAATTAATTTCTCACGGGTGAAATTAACTACAAAATATTATTTTTTTTATTTATTACTTTTCCCTTTGCCTCCGTTTTTTCGTAACACAGTGTCATAGGCTGTGACGTCATAGTTTAGAGGTTGAAACGTCAAAGCTTAGCAATCGTGAGATTGAAATCATTGTAAACCTGAATTTCAACAATATATTTGGAGAAACTTTGGCAGTTTTTGTCAGGGTTGTTTATCTCTCTCTTTGTCTCTCTCTCTCTCACACATATCAGGCCAAGGAGTACTGCTTATAACACTCTTCGTGAAGGGGAGGAAAATCGAGAGTTTTGCCGCATTTCTGATATTCTTTCACCCTGTGACAAAAATATTACTTTGATATTCTTTCACACTGGGAGAAAAAATATCACTTTTATTCAATGAATAATTTACAGTATTTCACTGTTGAAAATGTAATAAACGTCATATTTTTTTTTTCTATGCTACTACTTACTAGTATGAAATTACTCCTTGAATTTGGATTTTCTGAGAAAATTGAATATATTCTTTCAATCACATCAAACATAATAAGAGAAACAAATTAAGAAAGGTTAACAATGTTCCGAATTTTATTACATGTGTTCATTTTACAAACCACTTAAATTCAGAAAATTAATCAACTTTTAATAAGTCATCTCTTTTAATACAAACTTTAGATGTTGTCATAAGACAGTAATACCCGCACGTACATGTAAATGTTTGCATCTAAATGTAAGCTGTCGTCCGCGTGTCGCAGTGGTTAGAGCGTTTAATCTAGAGTCTCGGAGTAAGGATATGATCCTTACGTCGCGGGTACAATCCCACTGCCGGACATGGAGACCGGTCCTTCGAATGAAACGGTATAAACCGAGGTCCCTCGTGTCGCAGTAAGAGTTGTTACGAAAAAGATCCCTCACTGCTCAAAAGCCCTAAGTGCCGAGTACAGGTCTAAAGAAGAAGGTATGGTTTTAGCTTTATTGTGCCCTAAAAATTTAATGTTTTCAAAAAGTTTTGAAACTGGTTTAAATATTAGTTGAGTATATGACTGTAATAAATCAGGAAAGAATATAGCATGATTGAGTACCATTCTGGATATATGACGTCATTAATTTGATGCATTTCTCTATTTTAAACAGAAAAAGCCTCATAATGACCCATTTCAAGGGTTATTTTCTTTAAGAAAATAGTGTCCACAGCCGTCGCTCACGTTAATTTTTAGATATGTTGTGTAAAATTCTTTGAAAAATCACATATCTCAAAATCTTTGTGGGCGATGCCTGTGGACAATATTATCTGAAAGAAAATTCCATTGAAAATTGATGTCTTCTGCAAATTTTTAAGAAAATACGGGAAAATGCACAAGTTTATGACGTCACAAATAGCATTTGGAAGATCATGTGAGATAAAAGATTTGTATGATCTTTCTGCATGGAATTTCAATAATTCAAAAAGCATGAGTTTTATTTTTTTACATCACTTTAATTTTTAAGAAAAACACAGGGCAAGATTTGTATTGAAACCGTACCTTGTTCTTTGCAGCCCTCCGAACGGCAAGTGGTGGCGTCTCAATATGAATGAAAATGAACGTTGTACAGGCAAGCAAGCTAAATGTTAGCTAGATCCCTTGTCCCTCGGTAGCGAAGAAGCCACAATGGTTATTCTATGCGTATACATGTATCAAACTGAGCAAAAAATTCACCGGGTGATCATATGGTCCACGGGCCTCTAAGAATTTCAAATAGTAAATTCATTACCAGTCTGGAATGACAGATTGTAATGAAGTAAATTCTTATTCTAAAAGGTTTTTTGGGGAAAAAATGTTTTTTTTTTCTGTAAACAGAAAATAAAAAACAAATAAGAAGAAGAAATCAGCCCAAATTTGGAACCTGAATTTGTTGTCAGATAATTTTTAACGTATGGTAATTTTAATGAAATTGAAAATTATAGTCATCGAAGTGACATTTTTTTTTTTTGAAAATGAATTACATGTATTCAGCTGAATGTTCAAGTGAGCTGCAGTATGTTTTTAGCTCACCTGAGATGAAAGCTCAAGACTAGTGAGCTTTTCTGATCACATTTAGTCCGTCATCCATCTGTCTATAAGTCTGTAAACTTTTCAAATTTTCGACTTCTTCTCCAGAACCACTGGGCCAGTTTTAACCAAACTTGCCAAAATGCATCCTTGAGTAAAGGATATTCAAGTTTGTGCAAATGAAGGGCCACAAAGGGGAGATAATTTAGAATTAGTAAAAATTGGCATCTTTTAAAAGTCTTCTTCTCAAGAAACAGTATACCAAAAAAATGAAACTTAAGAGAAACCTACATTACATAGAGTTTATTCAAATATGTTCAAATCAGAACACCCGGGTAGGATGGGGTCACAATGGGACCAAAGTTTTACAGAGGTTTATATAGGAAAAAACTTCAAAAATATTCTTTCCAAGAACAACAAAACCGTGATTAGATATATAGATATGGAAGCATACTCAGGTAGTGCAGGAAGTTTGTTCAAATCATGATAGGGTGGGGCCACAATGGGGGATCAATGCTTATCATAAGAATGTATAGTTTAAAATTCTTTTTCTCAAGAACAGCAAAGCCATGATTTCATCTTTATATGGAAGCATCCTCAGGTAGTGCAAATTTAAGTTTGCTCAAATCATGACTCCCAGAGGGTAAGGTAGGGTAGGCTATCAGAGTTTAACAAAGTGATATATAAGAAAAATATCATTGAAAATCTTCACAGCAAAGCCATGATTATTTATATTGATATGGAATTATCTTCATGTAGTGTGGTTTCAAGTTTGTTCAAATCATGACCCCAGGGGTGGGGGGGGGGGGCACATCTTTATATATCTTCTTCTCAAGAACAGCAAAGCCATGATTAGTCATATGAATATGGAACCATCCTCAGATGCCTTAGATACCTCCGAAATCTTATTACACAACTACAGGACACTCCCAAACATATTCCAACAGATGAGTTGGTAGCTAAAGAAAAAGTAAAAGGATTTCAGGGAACCATGTTTTTGTAGAAAAACGTTTTTATTTTTACCCCCAATCGCCCCTAGGGTGAAAATTGAAATTCCTACACCTTATTACACATCTACAGGACACGCCTAATCATATTCCAAAAGATGAATAGACTACTGAAAAAAATGTAAGAGAAGTTCAGGTAACGAGGTTTTTGTAGAAAAACGCCGTTTTTTTACCCCCATTTGGTCCTAGGGTGAAAATGACAATTTAAAAATCTTTTTGCATATATTCAAGGCACCCCAATCATGTTCTAAAAGAGTAGTTAGAATAAGAAGATTGTGTGACACGGACGGACAGACGGACCATGATAACAACAATATACACAAACTTTCTTTGGAAAACGCGGGTATAAAAAAGTTAATTCAAATTAAAGCAGGTTAAATATTAAGAAGGAGCAATTTGGATTTTAGAGTGTGATACATCTGTAGTTACAGGAACACTGTCACTGTCAGACAAATAAAAAATCGGTGCAATTTTGAAATATTTTGACTAGATTTGGACCGAGTTTCATTCACATCAGACAAAAACTTCAGAAGGAATTCCCATTTTAAATACAGATCTGTGCCAAAGTGAGGATAATTTTTTTTTCTCTATATATTTTATTAAAAACCACATATAGTTGAATCGCAGGCAAATGGTCAATTTTTGTCC